TATCATTTTAAAGTTCATTAAATTTACATTTTCTATCACTAACAGCCCCAAAAACGAGACTGCCAAGATAGGCACGCCCCAAACTCCCATTGGACACACAAAGCCCATGAAAACCACCCCCAAATTGAAGAAAATGTTTCACCAAATAGGAAAACTTGACTAGACATTTGTTTCTTTTAAGAATCGTTACCTATTTGTATGAAAAATCACTGTTGAGTCCCAAGCAGACAAGCACTATAGTTGAATGAGTTTTAAGCTCTTTCTCCTCCTTTTTTTCTCTATAAATAGATGCCCAACTCAAACTTGAGAAGGGGGGAGTTTCCCAATTTCTATAATACACCCATTATACTTGAAATCCAAAGATCCTTGAAGCCAAGCTCAAGTAACAAATTTGTTTCCCCTATTCTCCAAAATTAACACCAGAAACGCTTAGCCCAGCTTAGTAATTCGCTCAAGCTTCGTTTCTTTCTAGCTGCTAGAAAGTTTGTTTCAAGGTCACACATGAGAGGTAAGTCTCTCATTTCACTGTCTCTCTGCTTTTAATTTAGTTTCGGATTGCTTAAAGTCCTAAAACCATGGGAACTTGCATTTTCAACTTCCTCCAGATTGAGAAAAAGAGGTAAAGAGGCAGGGGTCTTGGGGAAACCAATGCCTAAGACCCTATAACATTACCTCAAATCAATTTTGGGTGAAATTGGGAATGTTTTCACCAGATTTTAGGAGCTTTGAGTAATCTTGTTAATTTGTGTTTCACTAGAATTTGAACCCGAACAACTCTCGTATTGGGTTGTTACAGTAGCTTGGAGAGAGGGGTGCCTAACACCTTCCCTCTCCCAATTCTTAGAATCCAAAATCTCTCATTTTTGTGTATTTTCCATGGAGAATAAAGTCACTATCAAATACATAAATCGACTTTTCAAATCTAAAAATGAGGGTCCATTTCCTCTAAAAAATGGCTAGTGGCTCCATCTTTTTGATTCGTCCATGAGCTTCCCGAAGCTCACATCTGGTGACTCCACTAGAGAAAACTAGAACCTTTATTGAGTGTTGTTCAGACTCAGTTTCAGACCTATTTGTTTTGCATTGGTAAGTTTAAAAGTTGTTGGAGTGAGATATGAAGTCGCATCTCAAAAAGGCTAGGCGCAACAGACCTTTCCAGCACGATTTGGAATTAGGTTTCCGTGTTGGTTGGCGTAGGAGACCTCTTCCTCATACACTGTAATCACACACAAAACCATTCTTGTGCCCAAATCGCACCTAAACTTCATGCAGAATCATACCTTTGTCAAAATCACAACTAGAGTTTCACCCCAAACCACATCTTCATCGAAATCAAAACCATGGTCTCACCCAAAACACTTCTTCAAAATCACACCTCATTTCATCTTTGTTGCAACCTAAAAGTCTAAAATTGCACCTTTTCTTAGTTTCATCACAGTTCAAATAGCCAAATCGTACCTTCATAAAGCCTCATCGCAACCCAAAAGTTCAAAATCGCAGCTCATTCCAATCCCATCGCAGCCCAGAAAATCGCAATCACAATTCCTTTCAATCCCATCGCAGCCCATAAAATCAAAATCGCAATTCATTCCAACCTCATCGCAACCCAGAAATCCAAACCGCACCTCCTTAGAGCCTCATCACAACCCAAAAGTCCAAAATCGCACCTCCTTAAAACCTCATCGCAACCCTAAAGTCCAAAATTGCACCATCTCTTAATCCCATCGCAGCCCAAAACTGCAAAATCACACTTGAGTTCAATTCCATTACAGCCCAGAACATCAAAACCATCTCTTTCAGAGCTTCATCACATTCCAGAATCTTCCCATTGCAGCTCAGAACCCTCTCATCGCAGCTCAGAACCTTCCCATCGTAACTCAAACCACTCCCATCACAGCTTAGAACCCTTCCATTGCACCTCAAAACTTTCCCATCACAACTCAGAACACTCCCATCGCAACTCATAACCTTCCCATCGCACCTTAGAACGTTCCCATCACACTTCACGTTTAACTCATCGCACCTTAGAGCTACCCATCGCACCTAAATCACACCCATCTACCTTTATCGAACCCTACTATCGCATAATATCTTCCACCGTAGCACATTGGATGTCTATCGCGACTAGCCTTAGGTATTTTTTCCTTTTTTTATTTTTTTTTTTGGGTTTTTTCTTCTCCCTTCCCCTCTATTCCTTTGGTGATCTCTCAAAAATTGTGTTTTTTCCTTTGTTTGTAACTGAATGTGATTAATTAAGTTTTTGGGTAGGAGTAAATTGTATTTGTTTCTTATTCTACTCTTTCCTTTCCTTTGTTTTAGTTAAACAAGCATCAAGAGAACTTAGCTTCTGTTAATCCCCAAGTATGCCACCTAGAAACTTGTAGGATTGCTTGTAAAGTTGAACATGTGGCTGTATTCTCCCATCATTCTTTGTTTCTTTCCTATTCATTTTTCTTGCATGCTTGAACACTTACAATTCATACACACTCTCATGTAAATAGAATTAAAATCCCATTTTACCTAGTAGAGGAAGGGTAGTAGGTGTGTGCCTCTATACTTTGGTCCTCAGACTCTACCAAAACCTTCAAACTAGCCATCAACCAAAGAAGCCATGTCCTAAGCCACATTTCGTCCCATCTAATAAGACCTCCTTGATCTTTGAGAGATTAGCAAATCTGCATTTTTTTGCTAACAATGATGGAATCAAGTTTAGGCACCCCAGAGGTTAAAAAAGGAAAAAGAAAAGTCAGACCTAGAAACACTAAACTAGGGGCAAAAGGGCAAAAAACAAAAAAAACAAAAAAAAAGAGAATGATACATTCCAATCTAGGGGCAAGCATATCAAAGCACAACAAGTTCGATTCAACAAGTCATGAAGATTCAATCTCTGCATGGAAGGGGCAACCACCTCTTACTCGAATATTTTTTGAAATGAATTTCCAATTAACATCTAACATTTCTAAGACATATCTCTAAAACTAATAGTGCTTCTATCATCAAATCTCGCACCCCATAAGGGTAGGCGGGCTTTTTTGAGTGTCATTGCTTTGTTGGAAATAAGCTCTGACCATCCACTTAATCCTTATTTAATTCGAAAAAATGAAAACAACACGAAAAGCTCAATTATATTCATTTTCCTTTCATCCAAACCATCCAAAAATATTTTCTAAAGCATCCAAAAATCTTTTCCAAATAAAGTTTTCCCAAAAACCCAAAATCATCCAAAAGTCTTTCATCCCAACCATTTAAGAATTTTCATAAAAATTTATTTCATTATCCAAAATTTTTTCGTCAAATTTTCTTTCATCCAAAATTTTGGCATGCACCAAATCCGAAGTTCTTGGCATCGTCTATCCAAATCCAAAGTTACCTAAAAATCTTTTCTTTCATAATCCTTTTGTACAAGTTGCTCTCATATAAGTTGTCCAAATCCAAAAGTCATTAATCATCCAACTTTCTTTCATCTAAATAATTCAAAATTTATAAAATCCATTAAAATTTTTTTTCTTCGGACGGCCTTCGCTTCATGCAATCTGCCTTCAAGCATAATCTAAAATTCATAAAAATCTCTCGCTTCATGCGATTCACCTTCAGGCATAATCAAATACTCATCAAAATTCATAAAAAACTTTCGTTTAGTGCACTCTGCCTTTGAGCATAATCTTAAATCCATCAAAAGATTTTGTTTCATTGACCTTCGCTTCATATGGTCTACCTTCGGGTATAATATAAAAATTCATCAAAATCTCTTGTTTCAAGGATAGCTAGTGGAGAGATTTGCCTACCTTGTGTTAAAGTTGGAAGACCAACTTGCTGATTGTCTCACTAAAGGCTATCATCATCTAAAGTTTTCCAAGAACCTACACTAGCCAAGTATGATTGACATATATGTTCATCTTGAGGAGGGTTGTGATTGTTTAGGATAAGGGTAATTTTGCCATTTCATGCTCCTTTGTATTTGGATGCGCATACGAAGGCTTACTTATAATTTCACAAAAAAATATAAAATTACAAGTTTGAGAGAATGAACAGTAACTCTCTTTCTCTTCTCTTCTCTTATCTTCTCTTCCTCTTGTTTTATTTCTCAACAAAACCCTAGATATTGTAACTTTCATAATTATCACATCAGCAACAAATACAAAAATATATTCTCTAACTTCACTTTTGTTTTGAGAATGAAAACAAAATTATTCTATTTCCAAAAACAAATCATATTTTTTAAAATTATATTTTCTCTAAAACAAAAAATCACCCTTAGAACTTTTAAAAACAAATAATACATACACAATCAAGAGCATGTTTTATGTGTGTTTTTCGAGGAACGATTGTTTTCAATCTGCATGGTTTTGATTTGTTTCTGCAACTAACGAGAAGAAAATCAATTTATCACAAGTGGCCCCTAATGCTTTGTTTGGTTTGAAGGAAAAGGTAGGGAAAGGAAGGGAACGTTAAGGAAACCTATACAAAGATTGTAAAGGTTTTCCTATTTTTTCCTTCTTTTCCCTACCTTTTCCTTCAAACCAAACATAACCTAAGTGAACATACAAATCGTACATGCATTCTGTTCATTGGTTAGTTTACGCCTTTGGAAAAGGTATATATAATTGTATTTGCACTCATACAAATTTGTACAATGCAAATACACAGAAAATAGTTCAAAATACAAAATTTTGCACCGCACATATTTATATTTGTACTCTTTCCAAACTGAGCCTTAGGCTGTGTTTGGTTTGAATGAATGAAAAGGTAGGAAACCTTTACAAACCTTGTATAGGTTTCCCTGTCTTTTCCTTTCCTTTCCTTACCTTTTCCTTCAAACCGAACATAACCTTAGTGAAAGGTGTGTCGCAGATCCAGGTTGGACCTGCTGGTAATTTCAGGACAGATGGCTCGTCTGTATTGGGTAATCAGCAAGGAGCACAACTTATTGGAACTAGCAGATAGAGTCTTACATGGTTATACTACAATCTTTTTGTGGCATGTAGGAGAGAGCTTGGAGATTGCTAATAGAATGTTAGAAATAGCTTTCTCATTTGCAGTAAAACTTGTAACATAATTAGTTCTCTTTCAATTTGTACACACTGTCAACAAATCTTTCAGCATCCCAAAGAAACGAACCAAAAGCAACAGCCTCCAGAACCAATCTCTTCAGGCTAGAAAACGTGACAACAATAACTTCATCTTTCTCAAGGGAACTTGTGTTCCCATCCCCAAAGAGTGCCCAACTATGCTTCTCGATCAGATTCACTGCTTCCCGCGACTTCAGTCTCGCACACCTCTGCAACGTCTCAGGGTCAAACTTCATGACATAACTTTTTAGATTCTCATGTCTATCTACATGCCTCCCTAACCTTTGATACAGAGAGGTGGATATTGTTTCAGCCGAGCGGCCGAAGAGAACGTGATCCTCTGATCCATGGAGTTGCAACTCTGTAACTGGAATTCGTATTCCACGGCCAATTGGAAGGTCTAGGTGCGTAAGAGAGAGACTCAACTCCAGTCGGTGTCTTAAATAGGCAGACTTAAGGAAGTAACCATACAAGATGGAGGCAGCGTAGACCCGGCCAAGCTGGAGCTTGTGAATCTGAGTCGTGGTCCAATTATCTGTCATATTAAATCTTCCTCTCCACCCAATAATGGTGCGAACGTGTTCCCTTACCATCTCCAAGAGTTCATCACTGTGAATGGCCTCGAACTCCTTGTCTTTGGATGGCCATACCGCTAGTTTGCCATTTCTAACGCATCTAGAGAGCCTTGGGACCATGGGCACTTCAACCTTAGAGAATTGGTGAACAACTAACATGTACATGACATCTTCAATGGCTATTTGACACACACACTCTTTCAGTTCTGCAATTCTCCTGGCATTCAGTAAAATCATAAGGTCAGTCTCCTGATATGACTTGGGTAGCTTTGTTTTGAACTTGGAGATATCAAGGAATATAGTTTCAACACGAAAATCTGAGTACATTAATATATTACGTAACCAACTTCAGTACTTTGTCTCATTAAATACTTGATTAAAGATCCATGAACAGCTGTCACATAGACACAGAGGCAAAAAAACGTTGGTCTCATGCAGGGGAACCAACCATTAATGAAGATATAATTTAAGCAACAAGAATATTTCTAAATTCCAACTGAAAGAATGTGGGCTTAACTGGTAGGGATTGAGATTGAAAACCCAATTTTCTAGTGTGACTGGAAAGCTTTATCAGAAAAATATCTGGAACATCAGTTACTTAGGTTCAGGGTATATAATTCATTCTAATCTTTTTTACTGGATGAAAAGTGTAGAGGATATGCTTTTAAACGTTAATATCCTGAAGCATCATGGCATAAGTTGAAGGAGCAACTTTGCTCACTGCCCATTAATTGGACATTTCAATTGGAATCTCAATGTAGAATTAGACGCTTCACATTCCATCACAAGTCATTGTATTCCCTCCTGTACTATGATTGTAATATGTTGGAACTTTCATTCACATGCACCATGAGAATATCTCTACATTTACAAATGATTCCCATGAACATCTTTCATAATGAATTTCAATARATCAATGTTAAAGTTGGAAAATGAAATAGTTGTAATGTCATAAACAATAGATACAAATACAGGTGCATGATCGTCTCAAATATGCACCATGTTAGCTCCAGAAGAAGCATGGTGTATTTCTTGGAGCAAATCAGCATGGTAGAAAAAGGTCTAACCTGGAAATAAAAGAAGTGGATAGCACAGGAATGGTGCAGGAAGTTTTAAGTGGTTCTGTGGCAGCTCGTTAACTTCGGAAGCACCTGAGACCATCAAGTGCAATACTGTAACATCTGAAAAGAGACATAGGTATGGGTACAGACTTTCAGTGGCTCCAGAAGCTAAGTGTTGGTGAGTAATGAGGCAGTGAAATACTGTAACATCAAAGATAAAATTTCTAATTCATACATGATTCTCTTGGTGACAATCCTGTCAAGCTGAACCAAGAGGATGGGGAGAGAGATTCTTCAGACCCAACAACAAGGTTGTACAAGTAGAACTCCAGAACTATAGGCTAAATGTGCTAGCATGCGAAGGTCACCTGAAACCATGTAGCTAACCCATTCGTCCCTAATTCCACATCAATACATCCTTCAGGATCTCTAATTGAGCTCTTTCCATATTATGATTTTCTTCTGCTCTCTCCTTTTACCCCTTCTCCTCTGAATAAGCTCTTCACCAAACATAAAGGCCTAACTTCTTTCACGTATCAAAACAATATCTGAACCAAGAGAATGGAGAGAGTCTCCTCAGACCTAACAAGAAGGTTATACGTACAAGTAGAACTCTAGAACTATTGGTTAAGTGTGCTAGCATGTGAAGGTGACCTGAAATCATTCAGCTAAGATGTTCATCCCTAACTCCAGATTAATACATCCTTCAGGATCTCTAACTGGGCTCCTTCCATATTATGATTTTCTTCTGCCCTCTCCTTTTATCCCTTCTATGGATAAGCTCTTCACCAAACTAAAGGCCTAACTTCTTTCACATATCAAAAGAATATCTGGACAGTTAGAATCCTCTCTAAGGCAGTCAGTAGAAACATTCTTTTGACAGACCCTCTTCAACAATCAGTTATCTCCAATTTTACAGACTTCTAATCTCAATCTTCTTGATTAATTACACCCTAGTGAAATTTTACCTTAATAAGTACAACTTCAGTTTAAAAAAGGAAAATATCCGATATTTATCTTGTTCCAGGTCCACTGTACCTCTGCCCATATTATCCTTTCAAATGTTCACACATGAGCTTCTTCCATACAGCATTCCACACTTAGAAATAATATAAATGTGGCATTACATATCGAAGAAATAAAAAAAGCATCATAAGGAGCTTAGTAGGGAAGTGGGAAATATTATTGGGACAACAATATAAATGGTTGATTACACCAGTTCATGTGCTTGTTTCACAGAAATTTGCTGATGAAGAATGTCTTGTATTAAGAAGGATGAGAAATCAACAGCAGCAAGAGGGGGATTCTTTGGGAGTTGAATTGAGTGAACCAGAGACAGAACCCCTTTGCACAAGATAGCTAATTTGAACCACTTTAGAAAGGTATTGGGGGGCATAGGGCGAAGCCTCTTTACTGGGGGATCCAAAAATCTATATTGAATGATATAAATACTAGCTTTCTACTGGGGCTGTAAAAAATTGATTGAAAAATAGTAGAGTTTCAAGAGAACCTCTGTGGAATTCATTGTTTTAAAAGGCTTAAGCCTCATAACTTTGATATGAGGCTTAGGACTTTATTAGAATGAGGTGTAGGCCTTTAGCCTAAGGGAATGAGGCATAGAAAGGCTTAAGCCTTAAGAACCAATGGCAATGAGTTATTTAATACTGAAAAAATAGATTATTTTATGTTCTTTTAAGTTTAAAACAATTGAATGGGGCATTTTGGTAACTATGGGCCAAATAAAAGAGTAAAATACAACAAGAGACAAAAGAATGGGATTATTTTTTTTATCATTCTACACTTCCGGGTGACTAGAAATCTTGCATTCTAGGTTTGTTGCTTTTTCTCTATTTTCTCATTAAGAAAATGCTATCTACCCTATTTTCGTCTCTCATTTCTCTTCCTCATGGATTTCTTTTCTTTTTGTTAGCCTTTTTTGGCATAGTAAATCTGTTGAGTTGTTTCTTTTCTTCTAAACAGTTGGGAAACCAAAAATCTACTATCAATTATATGGATGGTTTATCAGATGATCCTGTTAGTGAAAAGGATTTTGATATTGGGAAGTTTTGATAATCTAAAGCATTATGATTGGTTATTCAAACAATTTGAGAATTTTGGATTTTGAAACTTGAATATAAAAGGTTTATGTTGTTAGTTGATTAGTTATTATTTTGTTGAATGCTAAAATCCTAGAACTTCTTGCTTATAGACATCTATTTTATGGATGCCTGTACCTTTTATCATTCTATTTTGGTTTATCATATGTTCTTCTACTCATTTATAAACTTTCATTGATGTTTTTTTCTCCTGGCCATTAATCCTCAACAACACATAGCCTTTTAAAACCCTGTCGTGTATGCAGGCTCAATACACAAAACCACGTAAATCTGCGTTTTTTTCTTCTTTTCTACATTTTTTTCTTTGCTACTCTCCATACTCTTTACAATACTTGCTAAAATGTCCACCAGTCCAAGACCCGGCTCTTCACATATATACATAGAAAAAAGAAATAAAATTACTCATACTTTTAAGATCAGGATTATTGAAAAAGGAAAAACTTTCTTTCAATCAGCATGTCAAAAAAACTAGTAAAGCTAAACTTTTAATTCACAGTTAAAACCACCCAGTACAAACATATCTAAACAAAATTCAATTAACACAGTAAAACTGAAACTCCATGGTCAATAGAACTCGGTATTTGAAGTCAAAGCCACATAGAACCGTAATAGGAAAAGGTATAAGTTTACAAGACTGACCTGTGAAGGCACGATTCGGAAGAACCTACACTGAGGTTCATGCGTCCAACAGCTCCATCCCTATCAAATGCCAATTCGTCTAGCTGCTCTTTCACCGCAACATTGAAGAGATGTCTCTGGTTCTGCAATATATCACTTAGAAATTTCCCAGCAGATGAAGTAAGCTCAAGAGGCGTATCTACACTCCTAAACTCACAATAACTAGATTCTGCACTTGCAGCTGCAACCACCACCGTTCTAACTCTCTTATTTCCACGATTTAGTCCGAAATGCTGAGCACCACAGAACTTAGCGCCTCTCTATAAACAATAAACAAGAAAAAAAATCAAATTCACCTCTTTCCTTCAGAAACTTCCAATTAGCCATCAACACTCTAAAAACAACCTGCTATTAATGAAGGAAATTAAAAAAAAAATCATTTTCCTTTAAAACTGTTACACTAAATCAATATTTAAAAAAAAAAAAGAATCAACAGGCAATTAAATCCTGACCTGTGAAGGGAAGCTGAAATTGCGAAAAGAAAGAGAAGATCTAAATCCGATCTTGGAGAAAAACTTAAAATCCCCTCCAGACTTCACCACAACGGGCAAAGCTTCAGCAATGGGGATTCTTTTGTAGGAGAGACGATAGTCCATAAACAAGCCGTGGGTTCACCAGAGAAGAGAATACAGAAATCTGCAGAGAGAGAATCAGAAAACGAGCGAGCGAGAGAGAAAGAGAATTCCTGTTTCGTGGAAGAAAATCCCCAAAAAGACCTAGTACTTCAATCAAGTTAAAAGAAAATCTCCATTGATGAAAGAAAGAGAAAGAGAGATTAGATCAGAATCACAAAGTGATTTATAGAGAGATGAGGGATTAGAGATCAGAGATGATAACGGAAACCAAGGGTTTTGGGATATATACGCACATGCCACCTCAGACACAACACATTTAACTACTCGTTTCTTGTTTGCAGTTGCAGCGGGCAGTTTCATCAGCACCAAGTAAACAGCATTAGGAGAAACCGAACCTTTGACCCAACCCGACAGCCTAGGTTCCCAACTGCGTATGGGACAGTCACGGAGCATCACATAATAAACGAGTTGTGATATCCTGCCAACAAATACGTTTCGAGTCTCTCGACGAATGATCTGACACCGCACAGCACATCTCTCGTAGGTGGTAGGTCCCATTTTTAAGATAGTTCTCAATTTCAAGATCAAATGTGTGAGTTCAGATCTGCGCCCCACAGTGTCCCACAGCACTTCTTCGCCGTGTATTACGATTCTCAATGCAAGGCGAAAATGTACTGTGGAACGTTGTAGGCGCCCCCTTGTGAGGCGCAGACGTTAAATCGAGATGTGCGGTGTTAGGAGTGATGCTGGAACGTACTGTTGGCAGGATATCCCGGATTCACTGGAAATGAGATCTGATCGACTCACACACGCGACCCACACTCACATCCCAGCGTTGATCGGAAACATTACTTTAGAGTCTTTTGGCATGATCTGACACCGCACATCTCAGTAGATGATATGCCCGGTGTCCTATCACTTGGAGGGATGTTGGAACTTATAATGTTGGCAGCATATCCCGGATTCATTGAAAATGAGTTAAGATCGACTCACAATACAAGACCAACATTCACATCCCAGCGTGCATTGGAAACATCTCGATGCACGGTTGGAATATGACGTGGTTAGCGTGTGGGGCGAGCTTTCAAGTGTGGGGCTAGGGCTGCCGTCATTTGTTTCTGCTCATTTCGGCCATGAAAAGACAAATGGACCACCTACAGAGTTTAGAGAGGAGAATCCCAACCAGGTGACAAAAACAGAAAATTGGGCGCCACCGGTTTCAATCAACCAACTGGGCGCCACGCACTGCGACGATCCTAGGAAAATGACTGACGATCCCAGTACAGTACAATTGGGATGAATTATGATCGTGGATTGATGTCAAATTTATGCCTAGGATACTATAGGCGCTATTAATAGATTATGGGGGTTTATAATTTCAGATTTACGCAATGGGCTGCATTATACTTTTACGATAAAGAATAATTAGAGGCCAAAGCCCCATCTACATGCAGATACGGTCGTTTCAAACATTTAAACAAAATGAACACTTACCAAATTCTAATTAATGGTAGTTGAAGAATAGAGTCCATTAGATATGTGTTAATGATAGTTCAAGAAAATAACACACTAACACGCAGAGTGGAATCCACCGTCGTTAAGAGTTGTGAGAAGTGGGAAATTCCTACTTCCAATCATTTCCTAAAAAAAAAGAAACTATGTTATTAATTACTGTTAACTACTAAATTAATTAATTAATTCTAGTTATTTATTACTAATAATAATTAATGTTAACTATTTTTAATTAATTAATTACAGCTATTAATTACTAATAATAATTAATGCTAATTACTAATTAATTACTGTTAACTATTTYTAATTAATTCCAGCTATTAATTACTAATAATAATTACTCACTGATAATAATTAATTAGTAAAAATAATTTCTTATAATAATTATTGTTATTACTTAATTGCTGATAATAATTAATTAGTGATAATATCGTTCATTAATAATTAGGAAAATAATTTCTTATAATAATTACTGCTAATACTTAAATTACTAATAATTTATTACTCACAATATTGCTCATTATTAATTCGAAATGATAATTAATAAATATTTTCATAATGGTATTAATAATTCGGAAATAATCATTTTATATTTATATTAACTCATTAATTATTTTGAAAATAAATATTTAATGTTAATTATTTTTATTATAATTATTATCAGAAATTATAATTCATACATTTATATGAAGACATGGAATATACTTATTATTATTACCGATTCCATAATTATTAATATATTATTACTCTATATTACTCAATAAAGACATGGAATACAGAAAAAATATTCAAATTACCACTAAATGAATTAACTAAAAATCAATGAGTATTCTAATTGACTTGAATTTGACACATCAACATGCCCAAAATTATAATTTCAACCTACATTTCCTATTTTTATCTCCCAAATTCCATAATTCAAACATACCATTAGTTTATATATAGGTTTCCCTACCTTTTTCCTAAAGCTAAATTCTAGCCAGTCTACATGCACTGTGGGGAGCTTAGACTTAAAATCCATAACCATGATTGACCAAAAGAAGTGTTGCCACCTAACTTGGAGGTGACTTCTATACTTAAGATGGTCCCATTATTCTCATTTCTTTCATGTTTCCTCTGTTGGATGGGTTTCCGAGTCCTGATTATATTATCAGTTGATTGTAGCCATATATGATGATGATTTGGTTGTAGTTATATATTTTTCATTTCTTGCTTTAGATGATGGATGCATCTGCAAATGTTGTTTGGCATGGATTGTTTTTCTTAGTAGCTCTTTGAATGATTTCCTTCCTTCTTTGCCTCTTTGAATGGATATCATTCAAATGCTTTTTATCCATTCATATGTCTCTAAATATTAAGTAGTATTGGTGATATTGTTCTAAACATCCATCTAATTTTACTATTTTATAAACAAATTAATGATTTCAACTTTTTGATACTTTTTTGGGGGTGGGTTGCTCAACAAGACATTGATTTTTTATTGTTAAATAGTAAATTTCAAATTAAATGATACTATAGTTGCCCCTTGCTTAGTATGAGGTTATTGTCTAGATAAAACATGGTAAGTCTCTTAAATCAAATAAAGAGCCTACCCTAAATATGTATTATAAATAATCACAAAAATGAAATAATTCAAATTAAATCAAATAATTACTTGCTGAAAATTATTGGATTAAGTAAATAATAATAACATCAATTATTTATAGAAATAATTAATAATAATAACAATCATCAAGTACTTAATTAAGTAAATAATAAAAAACGAAATAACAATCATTAGTTATCATTAATGTTTATTCAAAGCATGCCCCATAATAATTAGCGAATACAGTAATTAAACCTTAAAATAAGATTCAATATTTATTAACAGTCATTAAAATTGTTAAGCCAAATCATTAATCTTTATTCTTAAATGCAAAATATGAATTAACAAATCTATTATATAATAATTATACTACGAATCATTCACAAATTCTATTACAACCTCAGTCTTTTTTATCTTTTAGAGGAAGACACATGTCAACCTTTTATAGATTCAACAAATTAGATAGGAAAGAGTAAAGTGAGAGAGACGGTGGTGTCGTAGGCATTGGGAAAGGAAGAAGAAACATGCCAATCTTACAAATAACTCTCCATAATATCCATTTGAGGAAGCACGTTCACAAGACTTCGTGTGTGCACGTACACAAAGGTTATTTTATCACATTTCACAGGTTCGAAGGCCTTCTTATGTGAGATACCATTTACTCGAAGAAGGCGATTATACATTACTTCAATTGTTGTTGTTAGGATATATATAGATTCTTGTATTCTTCTATACCTTTCGATAAAGAGAAAAAGGGTGGTCCTTGTTCAATAAAAATAATTAATTAGTGAGTTATATTATATTTCACTTTAACTAAAGTTGTCAAAATCATTGGTTTACAAATTGGTCACTTAAACTTAGCCCTAGGTAAATGTTTCCTAGAAAATATTTATCTCAATAAGTTTCATTTACCCATTTATTTTGATTCCTAAGTAATTAATATAATAATTTTTTATCCATAAAAGTCAGTGTTAAAATAGACAAATTTGTCACATTATCTTTTATAAATTTTTCCCCCAAGTGGGAAAGTTAGGCTCCGTTTGGCATTATTTCTCCTTGTTTCTATTTCAAAGGAAATTCCTATTCCGGAACAAGAATTCCGTTTGTAATTCCTAGGGATAATTGAGGCGTCTCATCCATAGTTGGCAAACAATTTGCAAAACATAAAATTATTTTCAACTAATAAAAAAATAAAGAAATGGGATTAGCTTAAACAACATCAAGCAATATTTGAAGATTGTTAGACAGTGTATGCCCTTAGCTCCAATCAGTTTGATGTACATTATGACATTTATTGAAAATGAATAAAGTACAAATTTGATTCATGTTATTGTAGTGTGTTTCTCTGTAATATCCTTAAATTGGACACATAATAAGACTCGTGTTAGTTTAGAATGTTCACAGCTAGTGGATCGATCTAGGGAGATCTATCCTGATAAGGCTGGCACTGATGTGCCGCCAAGTTGGTTGGGGTGGCCTATCTCAGCCGCTAGGGTGAGACCCGAGGTGCATGCAATGTAGGTTTAACTTGAAACCTTGAACCGGACCAGAATTCCAGTATTGCCCTGGACCTTGGTGATAAGTGGGCAAAACTGAAATGTTACACCTGACCCCTAGACTCAATTATGATACTACACTAGGTGTCAGATTGGGCTGTCTTTGATGTGCCAATCAATGAGATCCTTAGAGGGGGTCAAAACCTAGGTATGTTGGGACAGTCCAAGAATTCATCTGAGTGGGTGATCATAGTGACAGGATCAGCCCCTTTGTC